ATCAGCTCACAAAGATATCAAGTTCAAGGCTAGCCCAGTAATTTAGCAAGGCCCTAAGCAACTCAGTGAGTCTCAAAATAAAACATAAAAGGGCTGGGATATAACTCAGTGGTAAAGCACCCTGGGTTCAATCCCCAATACCAAAACAAAAAACAAAAGGCTTCCCTAAATGATAAAAATGTATATATCAGGAGAGAGACAAGTGAAGAAAGAAAATAAATAAATAAAGATAGAAGACAAAAGGAAAAGGAAACTATAGCTCCATTACTCCCAAATTCCTGGGAAATTTTTATAAGATGTTAAAGTTATTGTAAATTCAATTATTTATGAAAATTACCTGATTTGATTAATGCTTATGTTAGACTATACAATGTATTTTCAAATTAGATAAAACAAAGGGAGATGTATTTTATTTCAAATGAGATAAAACAAAGGGAATGTACCTATAATACAGGTACATTCTAAACATTATTTATTAGATAGAGGAGACAATGTTAGCCTGAAGGTCCTGGAGACCAGATCACTATAAACATTCTGTGATCCATGATCAAAGAATTGAGTTCCCCAGGCTGACACTGTTCCCATATGCCTTCCCATGCCCACCCCTTTTCTTTAAAAGAACAGCCTAAAACCCCAAAAGCGCATCTGACTCTTAAGTAGCTCCAATTCTTCAGAATGCATGTCTCCACCTTTCATTCTCTAATAAAAATTTATTTTTACTAAAACCAGAGATGGGGCTGGGGCTATATCTCAGTGGTATAGCACATGTGAGGCTCTGGGTTTGACGATCAGCACCACATAAAAATAAATAAAGGTATTGTGTCAATCTACAATTTAAAAAAATTAAAAAAAACAAAACAAAACCCTGAGGTCTCCTTAAATTTTTTTCTATAACATGACAAGAGCCTAGAAGGTCCAAATAGGTCTCCTCAGCCTCTCAAGACCTCCCTTACTCCCAAAACTGCATTAAGATAATCTCTGAACTATCTTAAGTTTTAAAATTACGTATATCATCCTAATATAGAAAAAAGTGAAGAGTCTAAAAAAGGTAGAAGGAAAATCTCTGCCATGAGATTAAACCTTTATGTTCCCTCCGCCAAAATCTTAAAACCCAGTCCCCAATGTGATATATTTGGAGGTGAGGTCTTTGGACAGTATTAAGATTATAAAGGTAGAGTCTTCATGAATGGGGTTAGTGCCCTCAGAAAGAAAGCCCAGAGAGCTCCCTCATCCCTTTCTATCACCTGAGGACACAGAAAGACTGATATCTGGGAACAGGCAGCAGGCCCTCACCAATCACTGAATCTGCCATTATGTTGCTCTTGGCTTCAGAACCTCCTGAACTATGAGAAGTAAATTTCACAGGTCACCCAGTATATGGCAGTTTGCTATAGTAATTTACTTTACAGGGGATTGACACTCCTCTATAAAATAAAAACAAAAACAGAAAAAAAATCACCCATAAATATGGGTGTCTTTTAGATATATACATGGAACACAAGATACATCTTTTCCAAGGCTTAACACTGGCTTGGACAAATCAAGTTCCTACCAAATATTATCACTGATAAAAGTAGTATTGAGTTTTCTATTAAAATCAACTCAGAGCAGAAACCAAAGGTGACACACTAATAGACTGGACACTCTCCCAGAACCTCCGTAAGCCCCTGCAGGCATGCACCAGTCCTTTCTAGCTCAACCCTTATTCTAGCGTATAGCCAACTCAGTCTATGAAGCTCCACAGGACAGGTACTATAGGGTACTCTGAACCCTTTATGTGCCCAGTCCTCTAGGAAGTAAAATCTATTTTTAGAAAAAAAAATTTTTTTTTCCCCTTTTTTGCCATGCTGGGGATTGAACCTAGGACCTCATGCTTCCTGGGCAAGTGCTTTAAGACTGAGATACACCCTCAACACCTACCACTTTATTAATTTATTTATTTTATTAATTTAAAAAAATGACAGCAGAATGCATTACAATTCTTATTACACATATATACCACAATTTTTCATATCTCTGTTTGTATATAAAGTATGTTGGCACCCAATTCGTGTCTTCATACATGTACTTTGGATAATGATGTCTATCACATTCCACCATCCAACACCTACTATTTTAAATGTTTAATCTTGAGTTTACAAATACATGTTACTTTCATCACCATTTCTAAACCGCTATGTACAAATCAGTGATTGTCAAGATGTGGTCTATAATGTCTGAAGGCTGAAGATTACATGTTCTACAAATTGGCCTAACACTAAACACCTAATGAATTTTCCATTGTATAATTATAAACTATGTTAAAAATCACAAGAATGTGCATTTAAAAAATAGAAATCACAGCCCTGGCACAGTGATGCACACCTGTAATCCCAGCCACTCAAGAGGCTGAAGCAGGAGGATCACATGTTTGAGGTTGGCCTTGGCAAGTTAGTGAGACCCTATCTCAAAATAAAAAGGGCTGGAGATTTAACTCAGTGGTAAAGCACCCCTGGAATCAATCCCCAGTTAACCTCCCCACCGCCACACATAAAGATTCAGGAGATGGATTTACTTGGCATATTTGAACTTAAAATTTGGGAGACATTTTCAAAAACGTGGATTTTAGGCCTTTTATTTCATCCACTGCCATCCAAGTTAGACAGAAAAACACTAGGATCATAATTCTTATTTATGCATTTTTAAAATAATAATTTCAGGGTTCAGGTTGCAGCTCAGCAGTAGAGTGCTCATCTAGCACATGCAAGGTCCTGGGTTCAATCCTTAGCACCACATATAAATAATTAAATGGTTTTTTTTTTTTTTTGAAAAATAGCAATTTCAGGGGGCTGGAGTTGTAGTTCAGTGTTAAAGTGCATGCATAGCATGTGCAAGGGCCTCGGTTCAATGCTTAGCAACCCCAAAAATAAATAACACAAAAACTAAAAATGACAATTTCCGTAGGCCCAAGAATGAATCACTTGCCTATAAACTTGAATAAAAGTTACTAGATATCACACCTTGTTGTCTCCTAAAAGTTTATCATTCTACTATTTCTGTCCTGGTGTATGTTTTCCACAACTAAAGGGCATGATATTACCTTATGTTTATATTGTCTACAGGGATCCTGTGTTCTTTAAAGATTTACTTGGCCTGAAATGTATGAAAATCCCTTTTCCTGACTGATTAAAATAGATACTATACATTAGTAAAACAGCCAGCTCAAAGACCAACTAGATAACTACTTCTCAGATTTTAACGTATAAAAAAAAAATCTGTATCTTGTTTAAAATGCAGATTCTAGGCTGGGGATGTAGCTCAGTGGTATACTTCCTGCCTAGCATCGCCAAAAAAAAGCACAGATTCTAATTCAGTAGTCTACAGCAGGCATGAGATTTTCATTCATAATCAACTCCTAGGCAGTAAATATGCTGCTGATCTCCAGGTCTGCTGAGCAGCAAGGGTAGCTACGTCCACGTACCCATAACTCCAGACATTATCATAAAAGGTGCTCAAAAAATTTGTCTTGAAAACTGACACTTCAACAAATACAGGTATATACATGTTCAAAGCAGCAGTATCCACAACAGACAGAAGGTGGAAACATACCATCAATGTCCTTCAGTGGATGAGTTGAAGCGAATTATGGTATAGACAAACAATAGAATATTATTTAACCATGCACACAAAAAAGAAACACTGATACATGCTATCATGCAGATGAACCTTGAAAATGTTATGCTAAGTGAAAGAAGCCGGATCCAAAAGAGCACATTTGGTATGATTCCATTTACATGAAATATCCATATTAGGTAAATCCTCAGAGACAGAACACAGGTTGCCAGCAGTTGAGTGAAGGGGAAATAGGGACTGATTGCTGAATGAGTAAGTTTTTTTTTTTTTTGAACTGGTGACAATGTAATAGAACAAGACAGAGGCAGTGGTTGTAAAATACCATGAATATACTTAATATATCACAATGATATACATAAAAATATTTCCACTGTAATATAACATTTCATATATTTCACTTGTCTCTTTCTTCATTGATAAAATGCAGATATTTACCCTATTCACCACAAAATTCTAAGGAACCAAAGGAAAGTAAAACATTTATTCTAAAGACTATAAATTAGGGTTAAAGGTGCAGCTCAGAGGTAGAGCACTTGCCTAGTAATGTGAAAGGCCCTGGGCTAGCACTGCAAAACAAAACAAAACCAAAAGATACCATATGAACAAGTAATGCTGCAATATTATTACCATTAAGGCTGCATTTCTCAAAAGTATACATGGTTTCAGCTGTGGAAAACAATTCTTGAAGATCTGGTAACTACTGACATTGCAATTAATAAATTAACCGGCTGGTTATTTAATAAATTAAAGAGCTGGAGATGTGGCTCAGAGGTTAAGTGTCCCTGGGTTCAAAAAACTAAAGTCTCACTGCATGGATCAACTTCAGGAAATATCACTCTTTTTGTTTTCACTATAAGGTGACTAGTTCTGTTTAGTGGTAGATCCAAGCTCTGACATATGTTCAGAAATTTATTATCCTTCTCTTTCAGGAAACAAAACAATTCAAATGCCTTTTTTTGTCTAAAATACAAGAACCTACTTAAGATAAATAAACCAAGGAGAGAAAAGGTTATCAGTGAGGGGATATGTTGGCTACAGCTGTGTGCTCCACTATCTGTTATACAAGAAGATATAGAGTCTGGCAATGATTTTTAAAATTCTAAGCCCCATTCTCTATGAAATAAACAGGCAAGCTGTGGAGTCATGGAATAAGTCCCTTTGCTCAGCATGAATCAAATACACAAGCAGCTTAGCTCTCTGAGAAAAACTGCCAAAGGCTTTCAAAAGTACACATTTATTCTTTTTTCACCAGATGCCACTTCCTATTCTCCTCACTTTCTCCCTATTCAATGAAGAGAGAGCCATTGGCCAGGTAAGAACTCTTTCGCCTAAAAGCATGTCCCCCTCCTTCCTCTGTGAAATAAACTTACTGTAACAGTTCAACTTACCGCAAAGATTTTTAACAAAGTTTTCATGTAGAGCTTTCGGATACCAAAAGAGACTCCAAAAATGGCGGGGACTATGATGAAAACAAGCAGGAGGGTGAAGAGGACTGTCAGGGAGATGCCCAGAAGGTTGACTATCAGGCTATCAAAAGGCAGCAACAGAAACATGGTGGAGGATCCAGGCCAGGCCAGTGCCCTCCTCCCCAAGCACAAATCACAGCCTTCAGATGGTCCTTTCTAACACCAGCAGCCTATGAAAGGAAGTCAGTCCTCCGAGAGTAAAATACTCCATTCCAAAGTTCACATCATTCAACTGCTTGTATAGAAGGGTTGGGGGCAGAATGACAGTACAAAAGGGCCACAGGAAGCAGCCCAAGAATGCCAGGTTTCCCCAGAATAGAGAGACTTCACAGTGAATGCGGGAGGATAAGTTTTAGTTAAAACATCCAAGTCCAGACTGAGTTTCTGTGCAAGTGAGCACCGAGGGAGGGGTCTCTGCTCTGCTATACTTATACTGCTTCCAGAGGTTTTCTTTCTTTTCCTGCCCCAGAGCATTCAGTAGATAAATCTGTCCTGCAGATCTGTATTGCCAGAAGTACCAAGAAGAGTTCACCTTGGTGCCAGAAAAATCCTGAAAACTCCCGTAGAGGAGGGTGACTGTTAGTACTTCACCCAGAAGGCTTTTTGAACGTGAATATGTGGAAATTAAATAATCGTTTTACTTAAAATTCCTTCATAAGCTGAAAATCAAGTTCATTGTAGAGAGTTCGTATCTGGCCCCATTCTCCCTCTGGAGAGGCTCTTGGTGCTTGCTGCCCCGAGGACCCTCCTACGTGGAGAGTCCCAACCTTCTCCAGTAGGACACAGATGCTGGCACTGAATGTGTCATGCTGCCTGCGGTGAGTGTAATTCCAGACGCGCCTGGCATTGATGTACTCTCGATATTCTTCTCCCTTAAGGCCCCCTTTTCAGCGGTGACCTTGGCAAAAAGTTGTTTACATGCTGCCAGATCTAGGGGTGGAAAGAGAAACACTGTCAGTCACACAAATCAAGAGGAGAAATGTCAATGTGCTTTGTTTACGGGCAGGGAGGGTTGTTTCACCATGAGCTTATCGTCAGAGCCAGCTTCTCAAGCCACTGAAGACAGAGGAACCAGGCAGGGCCACATATGGCAAACACTGATGAGAGGAAAACAAATATTCCATCTAGTTTCAACTCCAATGATAGGAATTGTGGTCACTCAAACTTTCTGAACAGAACATGCACGTCTAAAAGACACATTTCAAAAGACCAAAAGGGTATATTATGAAATGTAAATCTCCCTCCTACCTGTCCTGTTACCCAAAGTTCTCCAAGATTCAACCATAGTACCAGCTTCATAATCTGCCCTTGATAGTCTCTGCTTATACAAGGAAGTCATATTCCTCTGCCCAGGCCTGGCAGCAACAACAATGGCATACAACAAACATTGTTCTTCACCTTGCTTTTTATTTGGTTTTAGCTTAACATATCCTGGAAATAGTTCCATCAGCACATGCAGAGCTGTTGCACTCTTTGCAGGTATATATAGTTTTCAACTGTTAAGAATACACCAGGACCTAGGTTACCAATCTCCTAAAGCTAGAGACTACTAGTAGTTCCATTTTGTTTTTTATAAAAATGTAATGAATAACCATATGCATGTGAGATTTAGTACATAAAATGCACATGGTGAATATATTTCTAGGATAAATTCCTAGAACAGAATTGCAGGAGAAAAGGAAATGCATAGTTTCAACATTGCAAAACAGTGTTTTATTTCCTCCATAGAGATTAAACCCCTGCAGTCTATCTCCCTACCCTGGCTACTCATTTTAAAATTCCACTATTTCGAATATCTCACAAAAACATTCCAATTTTACAGTATTCATTCCATATCACAAGTTATCAAGTCCTGAACCTGGGAGTATCCTATCAAGTCTTTTAGGCAAAATATCTCCTGTACCTCATGGTGTAGAGACTGAACTCAGGGCCTCACATGTGCTAGGCACTTGCTACAACTCGAGTCCCTGGCAAAAAGATTTTGGCTTCTCACAAATCATCATCTAGCTCTGTCCTAAAATATTTAGAAATTCAAGAATTGAACAGGTACTGACTTCATTTTAAATTCTGTCCAATGCTTTATAAACTCAAACATGTTACCTCATTTGGTTACCTTGAATTTGTCAAAATGTATTATTCCATTTTCTAAATGAGGAAATGAAGAGAGGTAGACACAGATCCATTTCTATACAGCTCCAACACTTTTTCACACAGTGATCAAATACTCAACAAGGACACGACAGTTCAGTGACAATGAGTCACAAATAAAAGTTCCCATTTTTTTTTCTTTTGGTGCTGGGGATTGAACCCAGGGCCTTGTGCAAGCAAGGCAAACACTCTACCAACTGAGCTATATCCCCAGCAAAAGTTCCCATTTTTGATCCCCAGGTTCCCTCATTTTCTTCTACTTTTACCTCATTATTATTGCTAACATTTACTGAATGCTTACAAGATGATTGGCACTGAGTAATAAGCACTTTACATATATTGTTTTCACTTAGTTCTCACAACTCTGGAAGAATTATTATTATCAAGGCCATTTACAGGCAAGGATACTGAGACTTAGGAGATTATTCACAGTGGTAGAATAGGATAAGGACAAGTGCCTTTGTCTCTGACCTCTTCCTATCTCACAAACTATCCTGAAATAATTCTTTCATGCCAGGCCTGCTCTACAGAACTTCTTGTGATTAGAGAAAAACCACAAAGCAGATCTGGATTCACTTATCAAGATTTGGTGTTCTTCTCAGAATCCAAAGTACAGACATGCTCTTTCATTTTTATAAACTGGCCAAACTATATGTGCATGCCAGATTTCTAACTATATTCCAAAGCAGCTGAGGAATCTGCGTCACTGTGTTCCTTTTACCTGTCAGATCGCTGCCTAATTCTACAGCTGTACCTCCACTCCAGTCTTTCATCTCAACCCTCCCATGAGAAAGATGCAGCAAGAAACCTCTGTCCCACTGGCCAAGGTTACTCTTAGTTTCAGGGACCCAGGGTGACTGTCATTAGGGCGACTTTGACGCCACATGCCAAAGTTTTGATGGCTCTTCTTTGAATCACAATCAACTGAGAATTCCCAATGTTATTCTGGGTTAATGTCCCCCAAACAATAAACACATGTAGCAACAAACTAATTTCTTCACCTAGTTCAGGGGTTGGCAAATCACAATGTGTGGGCCAACTCTAGCTATGGCCAGTTTTATATGGATCTTGAGACAGATCCATATCTTACCTTGAGATAGGTATGGTTTTCACGTCTTTAAAGAGATGAGAGAATTTTAAAAAGATTATAACAAAGACCACAGCCTACAAAGCCTAAAATATTTACTATCTGCCCCTTTACAGAAAGTTTGCAACCCATGACACAGTTGATCCTTCCTTCCCCAGAGGTAGTGACCTCTCCCCACGTTGTCCCGCCGCACCCTGAGTTCACATTTGTGAGTGCCAGCCTCTCAGAGAACAGGAAACTAGCCAAACAAGTTATCCAGCCAACATTAATCTTCACATAAATTCTCAGAAGTAGAGGAAACAGCAAGCAAACTGGGACTGGTTATCAAATAAGCTTCCAAACAACTTGGGAATTAGTATAAAAATAATTAAAGCCAGAGGTATCTGGTGTCTCATGGACCCCTTAATACAGACTTTGATGTCTGGAAATATCAAAACTCTACTCACATCTGAAAAGAATTCAATCAAAGTACAATTTCTGGATAACTGCTGATTTAGGAGAGGATATTACTTTAACTCAGGTAAATATAACCATGACTATTTAAAAGTGTGAAGTAGGGGAAAACATTAATTCCTAGAAATAACTTAAGTTCCACATCTGGATTCCAGCTAAACTCACGAAGAATCATTTGGACCAAAGTTGCCTCAACAGCTCAAATGTTCCAGAGAGAAACATAAGAGCCAACTAACTCTGAACCTTTTAGGAAGGCAACAGAGCCCATCTCCAGGCCAACTAAACTATTCAACCTGCTGAATGGCAAATCTAAGCCTGGAGGCCTCCAGATGGCCTCAGTTCTTGGAGTGACTAGTTCTTCAATTCAACAAATATTCACTGAGCACACACCATGTGCCAGATATTTATTCCAGGGTTAGATATTATTGTTGAACAAATATTCCTAGAGAAAACAATCAAGCAAGTAAACATATATAAAGTCACAATTTCAAATTTTCATGATTTTTGTTTCTGTGTATTTTTGCACTACTGGGGATTGAACTCAGAGTTTCACACATTCTCGTGAAGTGTTCTATTACTGAGTGATATCTATCCCCTGCCCAATTTTCAAGATTTTGGAAAAAAACAGAGCCCAAGAGGAAAAATTAGAGGAAACTTAACGTAAATCAGGACCTCAAAGCTGAGCTTGGGGGTGTACCCTCTAATCCCAGTGACTCAGGAGGCTGAGGCAGGACAAGTTTGAGGCCTTGTTATCGGAAAAAAAAAAAAAAAGGCTGAGAATGTAGCTCAGTGGTAGTGAGCTCCTGGGTTCAATTCCCAGTGACATTCATAAATAAATAATTAGGGCCTCTACACCCCTTCATCAAGTATGTGGTAGAAACTGTTATCTTTCCTAATTGCAGGATCAAATACTTCCCAGCTAACTCTTTGAGACATTTTCTAATTCAGGAAACCATGACTGTCAGAATATGTCCAGAGATGCCAAGTACCAATCTGAAAGGTTAAAAAGAAATGCCATTTCATTAAAAATAAATGCTTAAGACTACATAGGAATATATACTGTTATGGACTGGATATAAAGTAACGCCCCCACAAAGATCCTATGTTCATGTAGGAATATTCAGACATGAAATGATTGGATTATGAGAGGTCTTACCTAATCCTAACTTAAATGGACTAACTAGGTGGTAACTGTAGGCAGGTAGGGGTGTGGCTAAGGAGGCAGGTCACTAAGTGTTCCCTGCAGCCCCCTTTCCTCACCCCTGCTTCCTGGTAGCCATGAGTGGAACAGCACTCTTCTACCATGCCCTTCTGCCATGATGTTCTGCCTCACCTTGGGCCCAGAGAAATGGAGTTGGCCCACCATAGACTAAACCTCTGAAACTATAAGTCAAAAGAAGCTTTTCCTCCTCTAAATTGTTCTTGTCAGGTATTTTGGTCACAGGAACAAAAGGATAACACACGTGCATTTTTAAAGCACACCAAGTATAATGTCTGCCACATATTAGATACAAATAAACAGTACATATTATTTCATTAGGATCAGAAGAAACCCAGTGGGCTATCTTCAGTTCTAGATACCAAACTTTCAGAAAGCTTTAAAGATTATTTCAAAGTAGAACACAAAATCCATAATCCAAAAAATACTACACGCATAGAAAGTAGCAAGTGCTCATTTTAAAAAGTTAGCTATACCACCATTTGACCCAGCTATTCCCCTTCTCGGTCTATTCCCTAAAGACCTAAAAAGAGCATGCTACAGGGACACTGCTACATCGATGTTCATAGCAGCACAATTCACGATAGCAAGACTGTGGAACCAACCTAGATGCCCTTCAATAGACGAATGGATAAAAAAAAATGTGGCATTTATACACAATGGAGTATTACTCTGCATTAAAAAATGACAAAATCATAGGATTTGCAGGGAAATGGATGGCATTAGAGCAGATTATGCTAAGTGAAGCTAGCCAATCCCTAAAAAACAAATGCCAAATGTGTTCTTTGATATAAGGAGAGTAACTAAGAACAGAGTAGGGACGAAGAGCAGGAGAAGAAGATTAACATTAAATAGGGATGAGAGGTGGGAGGGAAAGGGAGAGAGAAGGGAAATTGCATGGAAATGGAAGGAGACCCTCAGGGTTATACAAAAGTACATACAAGAGGAAGTGAGGGGAAAGGGAAAAATAATACAAGGGGGAGAAATGAATGACAGTAGAGGGGGTAGAGAGAGGAGAGGAGA